AATTGTTTTTGCCTAAAACAGGCACCTGCTGCACCTGGAAACAGTGCTGATGAGAGCGGTGGGAGTAAATCTACACAATAAAGCTGCAGGCCTTCGAACCAAAATAGCTGAAAGATACTTAAATGCTCTGTAGAGCTGATGGGAACTTCAGAATCTGTTGATAATTATCTGTGGGCTAATCACTTCTTTCACATGCTGTAACACAGTAGTTGTTAATATAAAAACACTGATTAGTTCAACTTTAAAATGATGGTGTTGTTTGGATTGGTAATAAACTTACTATAGCTATAGGTAAACTATCTTGCTCATGACCTTAAAGTTGCCACAAATAAGTATTTCTGATTATGGGAGAAGGGTCTTAATGCACTGATTCCACAAGCATTTGCCAACAAATAAGTGTAGCTGCTACTGATTTGCATAAGGTTTTCTAACTCAAAGATGCTTAAAGGTGCATTAACTAGGATCCATCCATCCATCCAGGTACAATTCAGGATGGGAGTGGACCTATTAGACTAAAGAGGCCACGTTCTGTAGCACAGAAAGAGTATGACAGAGAATGAGGGAAACCAACGCGTTTTCCTGGATTAGCAAAGTAGCAATTTTGCTCAGTTTGGTCAAGGCTAGTGTTACATCAGACATAACACTGTGGCATGGACTGAGAAGTTATTAAAGTTGGTTTCACTCAAGAATTAGCAACACAGATAGCAACATTACAGGTTTAACCTACCTGAAGTTAGCAACTAAAATATTCCAAGCTATATCAGGTGACGATAATTTTGATCAAGAGAATTATAAGTTTAAAACATGGTGTTTGATTTGATAAATCCTGGGTCAAATGTGTTTCATCTTTGAAACTGGAAGCAAATTCTAAGGTAATTTTTAGAATATCCCTCTAGCTCAAATGTGTCTGCTATGACATTAGTAATAAATTAAACATAATTAAAGCTGTTTGCTGTTTTGGTGACATTTATGATTTCACACTACATGTGAACCATTGTCCTGTTCAATTGTCCCTACATAACCGGTTCAAGGTGTATTCTAGTTAAGTGCCTTGTGTTGAACAGAAACCAGCTGAAATGCAAAACCCTCTGACAGACTGCATGTTAGAGGGTAAGAGATGTAAGGATGTAGTAAAGTCCATCCAAAGTTCTGAGACCGACATCAATTTTTATAGAATTGTATTCCCATGATCCTTTGAGAATGTTAATGTGTAATACAGTATAATGGCAGGATCTTTTCAGGTAAAAAAGAAAAAGTGAATGCTTTCTCTGGGAGCAGAATTGATTTGGTTGGTGTTAGCCTGACGGTGATTACTCACTGGAGGTCTTAGTCTACTTAGCCTGCTTCTTATTTACCGCTACATTAGTAGTGAGGCACCGTGTGTGCCTCTACATACGCCTGACAGAAACACCACAGCAGGCCTTCAAATCTGTGTGAAATTACATCAGCTCTACACTTTGAACTACATGTAAATGAAACCTGTCACAGTACTGTTAGAAATGTCACCTGTCACCTCCATGTTTACTGTCTTGCGGCTTCACTTGCAGGGTCTCAGAAATATACAGGTATATCCATTTGACCTGTGTATTGTTTACCTGAATAAGAAAGCAGTGGCAATTGAATGTCACTGAAAGCACAGTGACAGCTTGACCTCATGTGAGCAAGTGTGTCTGAACAATTTAAATGTTTCTCTGTGTTCAATAGTCTCCCTCTGCTTCTCTTCTCATGTTTAGAATAAAACATAATAAATGTATTTTTCCCATTAGAAGTTATTGTTATGAAAGGATATTGAATAAGTTGTGGCTTTCTGATACTGAAGAATTAGATAAGCATGGATTTTTAAATAAGTTTTCAAATATAAATTGTAAAATCTAACCTATAGTTTTTCATTTAAATAAACAATACAATAGTAATTGTAAGATTTGTTTGTTAGGAAGAAAACGAGGTGTATGAAGAAAGTGAGTTCTGTAAGCACGTCACAGATTAAAGCTGCACTACACAGTATCAATATTTCTATATGACAAAAGGATTAGTAGTGACAATGCAACAAAGAATGATCACCTGACTCCCAGCTATACTGATTTTTTTAGTGTCTTTGTAGCTCACTGTTTTGAATTTATGACTGTTTTGGTTGACTTTCACTGCTCTCATCACTGCCAGATGCAGCAGGAACCTATTTTCAGCGATTAATCTCTAAAAACCCACTGTACTCAACCTGCCCAGGCCCAAATGGGAGAAAGACAAAGTTAGCCCCTAGCTGGTGAATATACTGGAGTCTTTAAAGATTGGAAGGTGGTAGACCAGAAGTCACTTGTGGGGACCGGAGACTGGTCTCCATAATGTACATGTCGAATTTTATGAAAATGATGGGGGGTAAGGTTAGAGCAAATGTAGGGATTGGTTAAGTGTTAGGTGTTAGGGCTAAGGTTAGGCAAGTAGATGTTCTGGTTAAGGTTAGGGTAAGACTCCTGGAAATGAATGTAAGTCTATGTAGGGACAAGGTAAGTGACAAAAACAAGGATGTGTGTGTTTCCAGAGGCAGATTTAAGACTACTGTATATGTTAAAAAAATGAAGTGTTATCGCTCTCTTTCTCTCCCTGTCTCTCTCCTCACACACACACACACACACACACACACACACACACACACATGTACTGTATAACTAAAGGGCTCTAATCAATTATTCTACAGACTAACAGAAATCTTCCACAGTGATTTAAAGGCTTATTTCACATACAAAGTCACACGCTCACAGAATTACTCAGCACACAACAACAGCACCGGGAGCCAAATACTGCAAACACATTCACAGCTCCTAAAATAATTTGGAAACAGTTACATGGTAAATCAATCATGCTTATTCACTCCACAGGAATTTCTTTTATTGATACTGCATTCACATGACACATTACAGCTACTACTGTTACTGCTTTATGTTGCTAGACTGACTATCAAAACGTAAAACGCAGGCACCGAGAGCCTCATTTCCTGGCATAAAATATACAGCAGGATTCTTAAAGTTTTTAATTTGCTGTTTTGTTCAATCCTCTGATTTGCTGCTATTTGCTGTTTAAGCTGCAGAACACATCCAACAACTCATCTTCCCAGAACAAATACAGCGATGATAAGGTGTGGTAATCAGTCAGTCATTGTCTTCCTCTATCCCTCCTTCCTTTCTTTGCCTCTCCACCGTCTCCTCATCAGTCTCCCCTTTCCCTCTCATATCCCTCCATTCCTCCCCCTCAGTCCACACTGAGTGTACATTTTCCTTCCAATAAACTCTCATTGGAATAAATATGAGAAGAGTAAAAACTAAACAGTATGCTGACGATAACTGAGCATCCATGGATGTGTGGGTGAAACAAAATGAAAGCAAACCACTCATGGCCATGAACATACTTGCTCTCTGTCTTACCCTCCATGACAAAGTGTGGAAAGTAAAGTATATTTTAATTCCCTCCCTCTCTCCTCCGTCTCCTTCTCGATGCCATATGCTCAAAGCTCCATCTCGGGCTCATTTGGAGAGGCACACAAACACACACACGAGCCTTATCAAAGCAGAGGAACAGCTGGCTTGCTCGATATGGATGACTACTCGCCTGTCAACTAGTTTCACACAGCACACACATACACAAGCCTGGTGTTTCTTGCTGTTTTGGAAAGGAAAGTGAGTGAGTGAGAGAGAGAGAGAGAGAGGGGGAGAATAGGTCAGAGAGTTAAGTGTGTGAGTCAGAGAGTGAGTGAGAGACTTGTGGAGGAGTTTGGTTACTGTCAGTTTCATCTGACATAACAATTAGCCAAATGTGACTAGAGTACAGCGTACTGTATATGAACAAAAGAAGAGCACTGTTATTGTTAAAAAAACATAAAATCATACAGTCAAATCCATAATATCAGATGTCAGTGTGTGTCACTGCTCACCACGTCAACCTCAACCTCTTGATTATACTTTAGATTCTATTTTTTGCCTGCAAAGTGTGATTTAAAGGCTTAGAATAATGCTATGTACTTGTAAGTTGGAATGGAACCTTTGAAGCGTGCACTACACACACTCATTTATTTGCTGAATGGTATTATATTCAAGTAATTTTTAGTCCTAAAGTGTTCATTTTAAATGTTTTATTTACTGTATATATAGTCATTAGGGGTGTAGCGGTTCTGAACCCACAACCACAACAGCAAACCAAATATCCATGGTCTACTTTGTTGCTGTAGTTGTGGACTATCATCTGAAAAGCTGGTTTCTCTTCACAAACACTAGCAATAAAATCATCATGGAATCTGTAACTGAGTTGGATAAATTATACTTAGAATATATCATTCAAAATTAAAGAAATATTTGTGTGAAGGTATTTTGTGTATTATTCTAGAAATTATCAGTTAATTTAAACTCTGTTTACTATATGAATCTCTTCTCTTGAGTGTTTCACATTGTTGGTGATGTAATAAAATTCATGTTTCTCCATTCCTTCCTTAGTTGGGGAACTATAGAGGTATTGGTGGGCTAAGCCCATCTTCCATCCAGCTCTATATTTAATACACATGTATGAGAATGATACTGATCTTTCTTTATTGCAATGAAATCAGACAGGTGTATTTTTAAAGGATCTATAAGTTAAGTAATGCTGCTACTTATAGTTAAAATGTTTTTAAAAACCTATTTCTTTATAAAAGAATCATATTCCTATTAGCCACTATACTACCTTGCATTGTGTTTAATGACCAAAGATTTGTTAAAAATTTAAGATTAAGATTTAACTCATGGATTATTAACCAAAAATAAAATGAACACTGGAGCCATTATGAAAAGGTAATATGATGTTAATTTAATTGATTGAGAATTTTGTAAAACAACCAGTATCCGGTTCTGTTATTGTTAAGATCAACATAACCACTTATATTAGCGTTAAACACCGATTTGAGAAAATCCTGTACACCGTTAATTAATGAGATCTACCAAAATGAGAGTGTCAGTAAGTCACAGCAGTTGTTCTCTTACCTCCCCTGTGTGGCTGAGACTCAGTTTTGGCAGTTTATTCTTCACATTTCCAGAGTTCCCACTGTAAGCTTGACTGCTGTTGAATCCCTCTGTGACCACTAGAGGGGGTTTCAGCTGGGGAGAGTCACTAGGTGCCTGGTCCTGGCCGTCCATTGGGCGAACATACGCCGTGGGCTTCTGCTGCACTGCGATCGGCTTTCCCGATAGGCTACCAGGTGGAAAGGTGGGGGTAGTCAGTCCGGATGTGGGAGTGGTTAGACCAGGAGTAGGCGTAGTCAGAACTGACGTGGAAGCCAGCGGGGAGGAGGATGTTGACAGGTGAGAACATGTCTCATTTTCAAATGGGGAGGATTTAAAATGTCCACAATTTTCTGTGTTAGGGAAAGGCTTAAAATGGCCACCCTCAATGGTGGAAGATCGAAAATTGCCACCATCTGTGAAAGAAAAGAGAAAGAGAAGAGAACCAAAAGAAAAGTCAAAAACTGCCAAAGCAACATCTGTTGTGGCAGAATATTGCTTTGCTCTGTGGTATCAAAATCTAATGAAGGTTGAAAGCAAAAAAAATCCTCTCCCAGATGGACGAAGCCAATCATAATCAAAACAAATGATGTGTTGCTGGGTGGTTTAAAAATCAACTACAAGATGTGGTTATCATCTGATGCAGATGCTAATTTTCATACATCCCACCCAAAAAGTGGTTGTCTGTTTTACCCTGAAATAATTTACTGAAATTATTCATCAGCACTCCAGCAAATACAAAAATTATTTATGAATATCAACATTTAAGAAATTCCCCAAATGCTAAAGGAATAAGTAGAAATATTGGTGTGTGCTAATATACTTTCTTGTGGTAGGAATGATAGATGCCACTCTCATATCTGTATGCCAAATATGATGACAGAGCCAGAAATTTATTGGCCCATTCCATGTTAATGTCATATTGTTAGACCACAGTTACAAGCAATTAATGGTGTTTTTCCATCAGCATGCTTTAATCAATCAAGGCGAGCATGGGTTGGCCTCCATTTCCTAGCAGCAGGGGGTAATCGTGCTGACATGGGCTCAGCCGACCCTGCTTCTGCCCAGGGACGAGTCAGGCCAAGCTCTGCCTTCTACAGAGCCGGCTCATTGAGATGCATTGCTGAAATGTTGCGCTGAGGGAAAGTCCCTACCCATTCAGAATTCACTTTTTATCCGTTGTTTAACTGCAGCAAGATCTGAAAATTGAGTCTCCCACTTGGTCTTCTGATAAGGGGTTAAAATAATGCCTAGCACCAAGGGCTCCTTGTTACAGGTTAGTAGCACCACACTGATACTATGAGTTATGTGTTGCTTGTCAGCAGCTGGCGCCACGTCCACATGATCAAGTTGTGGAAGATAAACACTGCATTTTATGGTGCAGTGGAAGCACAGCATGTCGACTTGGGAGCAGAGCATGGCTCTGCCGCGTATGCCTCGGCCTGGAAGGGCTGAGCCATGCTGATGGAAAAACACCATAAGCAGGAGGAATACATTACGGCAGCCTGCATCAACAAATTGGAAAATGCCAATGCAAAAATAAAATTTGGTTTAAATAAAGTTTAACTGTAACACTAATATAAATAAATTAACTAATTTACTAGTTTAATAGAAGCTATACAATGTCAGAAAACAAAAGGCTTCAAATACGAAGTACTGGTACTGCAAAAGCGGAAAATTTAGGCTATTTAAATGATGTCACTACAAGACTAGTAACAAGCAGAGCTGCTAAGATAGAAGAGTTGCGACTCACGTAGCTTCAAATAGTTAATAATATAGTTCTAAATGAGCAACTAACAGCATGATTTATCAGAAAATTGCTGCTTTTACTGACTTGTACAGCTTTGCAAGCTAATTCTGATTCTGTGTTCTCTTGTTCTACATAGTTCAGCTAATTTAGCTAGTTAGCTAGGTACCTAATTATTAATTTGACCCAATATTTAAGAGAGGTAGTCAGACAGGCTGTAAAACATGCTTTGACACACATGACACATGTACTGTTATTGAGTTCTTTTTACTTTGGTGTCGCTAATTTAAAATGTCACAAGTATAGATACTGTTATTGAGTTCTTTTTACTTTGGAACATAGCAGCAAAGTCAGTGTCACTCCATGGCACTGCTGCAAATGTTTGGAACTATTCGATGTTCCTATGATGTGCCATTACTGTAAAAGACCAATTCTTATAGAGTCAGTGGAGATGTCATCACTCTCCTTCTTAATCTACTCTGGTAACAAGGCCATCCATCTTAGTACACATGAATACTCTCAAGTCCAAATAACTTAAGTTTTCCTGTTTTTTTCAATTCCAGTGACATGGCATGAATGCAGCATTAAGTTAACATATGGATGGGGAGCCAGAGGAAACAACAAGTCCAGCTGTGTCCAAATTTTGTATTAAAATGTGTACAAGTGTATTAATTAGGTACTGGCTTTCAGATTGAAAGTGAATAAGTATATTTTACAAAATGTTGGCCTATTCCTTTCTGTGGAAGACCTACCTGGGAGAGGAAGAGCTTTGGAGGTGTGGGAAGAGTGCCTTCTAGAAGAAGAAGAAGAGGAAGAGGAGGATGAAGAGGGTGAAGAAGGGCTTGAATCTCCTTTTAAACCAAGGTCATCTTTCAGTGAGCTAAACAGTTCTTCATGTCTTTGCATTTGCTGTTCCTCTAATAAAGACATTTTCCCCCTGCCACCTGTGGTTCCTCCTGTGACCTGTCCCTGCCCATTCTGCCCTAGCCCCAGAACAAGGCCTGGTCCTTGTGTACTCTGTCCGTGGCCTCCCCTTGACCAATCTATGGAGCTTCGAGATTTTTTTGAGTTCTGATGTGGGAGAGTCGTGGTGCTCGAAGATGTTGTGGCTGAAGCAGGAGGCTGCATGGAAGTCGAAGATGAAGGTGCAGGTGCATTTCCTGTTCTTTTGTCCCCACCTCCCTCTGCTCCTCCACCTCCTCCTATTCCTCCTCTCAGAGTTTCGTTGAAAAGCTGAGGCTCCATGGTGGGTCTCTCTGAAGTTGAAGTGGTCGGGGTTTGGAGATTGTTGTTGCCTTTGGGTATTCCTACCAAGTGACTTTGGTTGGAATGGCTGGTTAAAAGGTCTTTCATTTCTTCGTAGGAACCCAGCGTGTTCTGGACACGACTGGCCAACGCATCACCTTTATTAGTCTGAAAGGAGAAAAGGAAGAAAGAAAAGGCAGGGGGAGGGAGAGAGAGAAGAATATTAATTAAGTCTTCCATTTTTCCATTTCTCCACACTTGATGAAAAGCCCTCTTTATTTATCCAGAGAGGAACAGTGAGAGATGGATAGGGTGACCATTGACCAGATGTCAGGTCCTGATGATTAATTAAGCACATGCCACCCTTAAGAGGGTCCGGTCCAGGCTGAAGCAGTAAAATTAATGGAACAGGAATCATTATTAGCCTGATTCTCAAACAATCATCGCTTGGAGCATAGTGCAGGCCATACTGATAGATGGCAATGAAGCACCTTCAGCTGCTATGTGGTAATGCTGAGATGTCCCTCAAAATAGCTGGAGTACCTTTTGTGTCGCTTGGTGACAACTTCTTTAATGCTGTAACTATATGATTTGATCATTTGGCAGTTTTCAAAAAAAAAGGCCTATTAGCAGTGGTCTCAACAGTTCTATATTTGAACTCTTGAAAAAAGCCATAAAAGAAGAAAAAGAGAGGGCCAGTAGATTTTTCTTCCATTTTCTGAAATTTCATTTATACCTGTGCAACAAAATGGTTGCAATGATTAATCATGAGAATGCGTGAATTATGCAAAATCTACATGCCATAGTTTAATCAAGACGCTTCATCATGCAAGGTGGACAAACAATGAACACTGGAAATGTGGCCCTGTAGTTTTCAACATATTATATTATTCTTTTGTGGTTCAGTCAAAACATTTTCACAGCCATAAGAGCAAGGTAGTCAGCAACCTGTACTCTGCTAATCAGCGTGATACCATCAAGGAGTGGTAGTGCCCAATAAAGCTACAGAAAAGGGTCAAATGTATGAGAAAAAGTGAAAAGGGGCCTTTATCTAATTTTCAAGACAGCATGAAATTGCCTGTGTTTAGAGAGGTTAATGAATTCATGAATAATGAATTTATGTTCTTAGGGATTAAAAGATGAACCAATTTTACATAACGTGTTTCAAAGAGTTCCACTTACTGTAATAATAATAATAAATAACTGTTGCTGAATTTAACAGCAATCATCCAGATCTATTTCACTTCTAGTACATCATTTTGTTGTTTCAAAGAAAAATGTACAATTCAAAAACATGATGCTTTTGGCTTTTTCTTATCAGCAAAACATGAATCTCACTTTTGTGTTATGTGTTTCCATGCTTGTGTGGGGTTTTGTTCTTTCTATGCAAACAGCTTCAGTCAATAACCAAATTATACTGTAATAACAGGCAATGATCCATGGAGAGGTCTTATTGCTGAGGAGGGAATTCTAAGTGTGTGTGTGTGTGTGTGTGTGTGTGGTAGACACTTCACAACCTTACAAATTAGCATAACATCAACCCAGTATTTGCTCTGATGGAGGGCAATGTAAGCATCCTTTCATGATAATTGCTATATTGTGGCTTTTTTCAATAAATAGGGACAGAAGACTATGAATTTACAGCCATGCTAGCAGCTCTGTGATGCTGTACTTAAGATAAATACTAGTGTGTAAATATGCTCATAATGACAACACTAATATGCTGATCTTAGTAGGTGTAAATGTTTACCATGTTTAGCACTTTAATTTTGTGTTAGCATGCTAACATTTGCCAATTATTGCATACACACAGTACAGCTGAAGCTGACGGGAATGTCATTAGCTGCGCAAGTATTTGCTCATAAACCATAAACTCATAAATTACATAGTTTCAAATTTTGAGGATCATCACAGTCATAGGGCTTAATCTAATATCAGATCCAGCCATTTATTATCTACACTGCTTATGCTGAAGAGGGTCGGAGGGGGTCACTGGAGCCAATCCCAGCTGGCACAAGTCACCAGTCTATCAAAGGCTTGCTACTTAGAGACAGACAACCACTCACACCCAAAGAGTGATTTTAGAGTCACCAGTCAACCTAAGATGCATGTCTTTGGACTGTGGGAAGAAGCCGGAGTACCCAGAGGGAACCCACATAGGCACAGGGAGAACAGGCAAACTCCACACAGAAAGGCACTGGGGCTTGAACCTTCTTGCTGTGAGGCGAAAGCACTAATCACTGCGCTACCATGCTGCCCTACAATCACCTATAAATTGAAAACCAGCAAATATGTGCAATTGGGAAGTTGTAACCATTAGTTGTTATTCAGTTATCAGAATAGTAGCTGATACAGTTTCTAATTGATTAATGAGCTAACTGTTCCGCCTCTAAAGCCCTACTCATCCTGGACCAAAGTGATTTGTGAGCCTTTTATAATATAAGCTATTTAGCCTGTCATTAACATACAGTATGTTGCATTCATTTAATTTTTGAAGACTGGAGGGCTGTGTTTCACTCATATTTGCAGATGAAATCCCCATAGGATTATTTAGGGGCTGCCTAACATCTACTGTACCTCTGAAGCATTTAGCAACTACTAAAATCAATGGCCAGATGAGTCTCCTAAATTTGCAGCTAATATACTGTATTTTTAAATCTCTTACTAATAACTTCCACTGCAATGTACTGTACACTTGTCTAAGCCCGGAAGAGGAAGAAAAAAAGCCTGAGGGGATGTAGAGTAGAGCTACAGTATGTTACTTTTTCTATAATTCCTTTGTCTGAAATATGCTTCAAAACATATCTTTATGTGGAGAGGTGCTACTGAAGGCTGCTGTGACTTATACTCATTGAACATCCTGGCAGCAGTGCAGAAATATGCCCTTCTAAATCTTTTGAGAGAGCTTTGCCCTTCTAACTAATAAGACAAGAACAAAGTCAAAGTCACAGCTGTCAGTGAATATGAGAATTTGATTCTGGTCTACTACTGAGGTGTCAAGCTAGCATTACCTGCTGGAAGTTATCTAACTAACACATGGATGTAATATGAACGCTTAATATGGCGCCCCACTCAGTCGTTCAGGAAATTTTCTCAGTGGCCACTCAAAGATCAGCAAAATTAATAAATAAATAAAACAAAATAAAATACAAATTTAAAAATAGGCCCAAAATGTATTTTTTTCCATAGACCACAAATATAAAAGAGACAGCTGTAAAACTGTTGACAAGACACGTCCTGTAATCTGGCATCCAGCTGTCATACATCCACAAGAGGAGGGGTGTGAGGAGTGAAGTAGTTTCATGCTCATACTTGCTTGATTTCTAGAACTTGCATATTGTAACTTTAACAAATTAGGGCCATGGTCAATTTGAACAGATCTAAAAGCACAGTGAGAGAGCATTTCTGCAATGATAACAAATCACATGTAGACCATGGGTAATACTAGTGCCGGCCGGGTCCTTGTGGCTCTGTGGTTTAAACACTTTCCTTAAACCTATGCGGCTAAAAGCAGCATCCATCTCCTTTACGCTGTGCCAGTAACTCTATCATCTCTCTTCACCTCACTGTATCCTTCATTTTATACTCTAATAAAGCAGGAAAAGCATTAAAATACCACAAAAACAAAACTGGACAAAGAATAAACCCTTATTTACCAAATACATACAAGAAAGAGAACTTCATTCAAATAATCTTAACAGATGTAATTTCAGTGTGTACACATGCACGCACACAAACACTACACACTGTGGCAAGCCAAAGTTAGCTGTGAATAAATTAGCCCATCTCTTCTCCATGTCAGGCTCATGAATAAAAGATCTGGTGGCTGAAGAGGAACAGAAAACACATTTACAGAGAGGCAAAATGGAAAACAGAGGGGAAGGAGAGGATGAATACCTGTGTGTGTATGTGTGTGTATGTGTGTGTGGTGTGTGATACGTGCGTATGTGCGTGTGTGTGTGTGTGTGAATAGATCATCCCAAATAGCTACTAACAGCATAACGCTCTTTAACAGGATTAGAAGAGGGATTAGCTAATATCTGAGAGAAAATTAATATAGGAGAGAGAGGGAGAGAAAGACAGAAGCAGAGTGATAGACATATGACAGGCATACCGTAAGAGAAATAAGGCAGCCCAATGGTAGCAAAGAAAAAAAAAAAAGAAGAAGAGACAGACCAGGAACAATAACGTTTATATAAATCCTGTCTGATAATGAAAAAGTACCACTATGGATCTCTAAAGGAGCATGTTCAGCCAGCACCGAGACACAGAGAAAGTGCAGTAAGGTTGTACAGGCCTGAAATAAAGCAAAACCTGAAGAAAAACATTAAATTGTTAGTGTGGCAAATAAATCAGCAGAAGAAAGTAGCAAGGTGTGCCAAAGCCATTTAGCAGCAGTGAGAGATAAACTGGGGAAGTGTATGGAAGAGAAAGATTAGAACTGGAATATGAAACAAGTAAATGTTATTACCTATTAAGTCTCCTCCATGGGACACATATAAGAGGTATCACTGCTCCAGTTTTATCTGGATCATTTTAATTTTCAGTTGTACATCACATTATTAAGTTAAAGATGTATTAACTAAAATTTCACAGATTGTATGATAAATAGAGTGAAAATGGAGCAACGTGCCGTGACTCTCTGCTATATGGCCCCGTGCATAACTTCCCACTTACAGCTCTTCTGTTGTTATTCCAGCTTCTCTGACCTGTGTTTTCAAAGTAGTCTGTAAATGAGCGCCACCTGCCAACTAGTGAAGGTTGGAAGAATATTTTTTTTAATGCCATGTAGTCATTTCAAACAGCCAGCCATGGCTCCTGTCTGCTAAAAGTTTGAAACAGTGGCTGCCAGACCACAGAGGGCACGTTATTTTGAACAGAAAGACTAGGACAAAAAAAAAACCCCTGCAAAAACTAGGGTTAACATCAGTTTGTGTTTTTGTGAAAGAGAGTGTTAAAAGCAGTCAAAGGACTCAGGTTTGATTCCTTCTGGATGTGTTAGCATCTAAAGCTAATGTGCTTGTTCTGGTAACATTAGCGACCTAGAATGATTATGATTTTAGCTTTGCATTGGATTTAATTATTTTAATATCAAGGTAGTTGTGTAACATTAGTGCTTTGTGTCACATAAGCAGTAACCAGAGCATTCTGCTGGACTGACAAATTTACTAGTTAGTGAGCGAACAGTTTCTTGGGACTGGAGGTGTGTATTTTGTACAGTTTGTCGCAACCAGACATCCATAGTTTACATTGTTGCTAGGAAACAGGACATGATGGGAGGGGCAAAGAGCCGTTAAGGATGGTTTATGGTGTCACTTTGTACTGAGTCTCACTAGACCTTCTAGCGGCTGAAAAGAAATTAGGCAGAGTAGCTTTAATGATTATAATTAATGAAACTGGAATCCTCTGAACAGCAGCTTACTTCAGTCAGGTGCTGGTCAGATGCAGGCATATTAAAGACTAAGCCTACTACCCATAGGAATTACATCCATATTGGATGATTCTGCACAATTATCTAAACTGCAAATGTTCAGTACCAATGCAGGAAGTTGTTTTATATAGTGAGGCTAAAAGACAGGCGTGGAGGTTGGGATGGTAAATTGAAATGTACAGCATGTCTGACTGTCATGGAAGAGAATGAATAACATAGGTTCAGGGTGATCCAACAGTGTTCTTATTTGGGTCTAATCCCTATTGTAGTTAAACAAACTAAGACAGACCCTAAATGCAGCGTTTGGGAGTAGTGAACTACATGTAATTAAACTAGAAGTTTAAATACATTTTGTAGTAGCTTTCTGGTAGTTCAACTACATTCATATTGCATAGTGATTAAGTAGTTTTAGTATTATTTAGTATTATTTTTTGTGTAACTACTGCAACTACAAAGTAGTTTTAGTATTATTTAGTGTTATTTTTTGTGTAACTACTGCAACTACTATATAAAATTGTGTGCCATAAAATAATATGAATGATTGTCTTTTTTTTCACCATGCTGCAAGTGAGCAGCTTTTCAGCATTGATAAGGACATTTTCAGAGCCAAACCAACTGCCTGTTGGATACGAACTTTGAGAGACAGCTCATATGTCATACAATCAAGAGATTTTGTTCTGACAGGTAAAAAAAAAAAAACAAGGCTCATTATTTAGACCACTGTTCAAACCCTCTAAAATGTGAAAGTTGTTTTAGTTGTTAAGATTGTACAATATTATTATATTTTATCATTTACATAAACTTGATCAACTTTTTTTAAGTAACTTTAGTTAACCAAACTAGATTTCTTCCTGAAGTAGCTTTTGCCCTTCAGTTTCTTCCTCTATGAAATAATTACAAGTAAAATGCATCATTCTTTCAAGTGTCAATAAAATAGCACTAGCACTGCCTGAAATATTACCCTTCACGCAGCCCAGTCCACAGTTATCTTAGCTCTCCTTTTACATACACAAACATCTTGACCTCACCTCAGCACCATTAATTTGTTGGAAATCATTAATTGGAGTATGGAGGCACCTAGGATTAGATTTATTATCAGAACAACCTCTCATGTTCTTCCTTTGCCCTCAAACCTCAAGTAGCATCTTAGTGAGAAGCCCCTGTGTCCTCTGTGTTCAGACACAGCAGTAGTTAAAGACATTCTGTCAAGATTCAAAGCCAGTCTGTCCCAAGGTCAATACACTTGGCAGCATAACCAAGTGTAGAAGTGGCTGGCAGTGGAAAATGAGAGTTAACAAACCCAAATCAATTTTATACACAAGGGCAGGAGAGTGGCCATGGACTTCATGCATGGCTAGTTCACTTTCAACTAAAGAAGAAACAAAATGATGGCATATCATCTATCTCAGAACAGAACAAACCTGAACCCTATGCTCGAGGATATTACACCGTCAGCCTCAGGGGGACAGCGTAAGGAAAAAAATTGTCATGTTAATATTTCATTCGTCGGCTTTATTATCAACAAAAACAGCATTAATGTGCATTACGATACAAAAAATGTTAGGATAAGTGTTGGTAAGCAATAACAGTCCCTTTCAATTTATTGCTTGCACAAAGCTAAATTGTTACCAATGACCCTAAATCACGAAGCGGAACTCCCATAGAGGAGAGTTGCCCATCCTCACTGATTAAGATGTCGTAAATTCACTCCATTTGCCCAAATGAAATTCAGGTGTCAGGTTTGTCCACTTCTCCTCCTGCAGATATCAATCAAAACTTAACAGCAAAATATAAAACTGTCTCCTAAACAGCAGTGAGAGAACACTGCAGAGAAAGCAGCATGTTGTGTAAAGAAAATGAGGAGTGTGTGCTGTGTGCAGCTTACTGACGTTAGCTTAAAGGTGTAACATTACCTTTAGCTTTCCATTTGTGAAACAGGCAGTTTAATTTATCAAATATGAAAGAAATCTTTTTTGTTTATTCATTATTTTTCTGATAGTCAGATGAGAAGATCACAAGTCATTGTGTATGGAGCTGCAGTAGACATGCTGTAGCCTAGCTTAAGATGGATGCAAGCTAAAACAGCTAACGTTAGCATAGCTCTCTTGAAAGGTCAACAACATGCTTACTAACAGTGGTGCCTGCAGCCATAATCCTGTACACACCATGCGTACAGTTTTTAAATGATTTTGCTCAAGTTTTACACCACTGCATCTGGCGGTCATTGTACGATAGAGAAATATAGCTGTCTAATATGAAATCGTATTGCACACCCCTAGAGTGGATCACATCATTTCTACTCCCTAATGTGAGCCCTGCAGCTGGGAGTGAGTGACAGTGGCCTCACACTGACATTACCTGCTCTCGACAATGCCTGAAACATCATTGGAACATGTGCAGGGTATTTTTTTCTATTTTCCATGGCGCATGAGCTGCTGTCATTTTGTGGACTAATTATTGTGTGTGAATTTAAGTGGCAGATCAGTGATTCCCAAGGATGGACTGGCTGGAGCACGCCTCCTAAGAGCAATGCTGCTTACTGTGTGGAAAGTTGGTAGGAGGTTGTTGATGAGGGAGAGGTTGCTGAAGTGAAAAAAAAAACGTAAAAAATGAGCAAAGAATCTTGTTATAATGAAGGTTTCAGGTTAAAACACGATTTACGCCGCTGTAGGCAGTTCTTGTGCGTACTATGAAATATAATCCTGCAGGCACCACTACTTACTAACACTAGAACTCCCCACTAATTAACATGCTATATCTCATTCATTTAGTTAGTTAGCACAAAACCAGTAACATAAAAATGACCATTATAGCTTTAGGTGGAATCTAATAAGCATATTTCCCAAAATGATAAACTATGTATAAGTTATGAATCATCTAATTATCTCATTATTAACTATCCATTAATCACTCACACTTACTTTATACGGTTCTCCAAACAAGTTGAAACCCGTAGAGAACAAGTCTTCATCCTGTTGGACCTCCTGGTTCCTCCTCTCCCATTCTCTCCTCTTCAGGGCACTGCGCTCTGTCTCTAGATGACTGGAGGAACACAAAGAGAAAAGCTTGTTAGGATCTCCCGCTGAGCACAACACATAGCCTGCCACCAGTGAGCCCCACTGGATTTTAATGAGTACTGCTAACAAGTCATTTTTGGATCTGCGAAATGCATTTGCTGTAATTCTTTTCCTGCTGTGTGATTAGAGTAGTCGGGTAGAGTAAAGGAAAATATCAGGGTAAACTGCATCATTTAAAGTGACTCAAATTCCGCATAACACATAAACATAGGAGAAGAGAATGGGAGAAATAAATCCTGCTGAGTAAGTGACAGCAAGAAGAGATGTGGAACAAGAATTCAACAGAGACATAAGTAATGCAATTAATGAAGCTGAATGGTTTGGTTGTTTTCATTTAAGTCACTATTTACGTCACATACCCTTGTAGTCTTCCACTGAAATAGTCTGATACTCCCTTCCCTATAAAACAAATAATCTGTGACCAATGTGTTTGTACAGGCTGGTTCAAAAAGTATATTGAATATTTTGTCTATTTGAACCAGCTCAGCATGAACTTTAATTTATTATTTTTACTAAGAACTTTTGAGTCTCAGAAGTTGCACATTTGATTTGCAAAGGCAGCTTGAACTCCAGACTCCAATAAAACATTTATCCCATGCCACTACTGACCCCTACACTACCAGTCAAAGGTCTGGACACAGTTTCTCATTCAGTCGGGTGGGAAAGTGTATGTCCAGAAGATTCTCAGAGATCAAACATCACTAGCTTTGCTGTGATCTGTATCTGTATCATCAGGAAACAGATTCAAAAAGAAAATGCTTTTTGCAAAAACACAAATCAGTTGGTGTCAATTTATTTCAAAAAGCCCTAGGACCAGTAAAAAAAATGCTTCCAGTCTTTGCTGTGTTTTGTCCAGCTCAGCCTGCTGGAGCTGCAGCAGTTTTCTCCTTAAGCTATAGAGCTGACACCACGAGGCAATTATCTTAGCTTATAATATGATAGGAAGGAGGAAAAAAAGCACTAGAATGGCTTTGTCCAAAGTTAAAAGCCTATCAGGACACCTAGAGCTGCCTTGTTAAGACTTTGTGTCTCATTTACATACATCAACTGAAATATGAACGTCAGGTAGTATATGTCTGCTCAGCCTGTGTCACTTTACAGGGTTGATATTCACAAAGACATAGCTATGACATGCAACTTTTCCATAAACTACTAATTGATTTTACATGACTTTTTATGTATGGACTACAATAATTAGATACAACTTGCCATTTAGTTAACTTTAGCACTAAGCATATTTCTTAACTGTGGAGAGAGTTGGGCTCACTATGTCCCCTACTTCCAGTCCTATGATAAGGTAATCTGTATATGTGATACTGAAACTGTTTAATTTGAGGGGTTTCTAGAAATAGTATATTTGTGACAGGCATTAGCAACAACAACATCAAAAAGCTTTTTAATAGTAAATAATGAACATTTTTTATAGAGTCCAAGTGGGGAGCCAGTACACACAGTAAAAGTCAACCAAAGCACAAGAAATAAACTGTCTGTTACAAATACCATTAACCACCAGTGGTGCAATGTAACTAAATACATTTACTCAAGTATTGTATTTAAGCACAACTGTGAGGTATCTGTACTTTACTTTAGTATTTTCATTTTCTGTTACTTCATATTATGACTTGACTACATTTTAGAGGTGAATATTGTACTTTTGACTCCACTACATTTATTTTCAAACTTTAGTTACTAGTTAATTTTCATATCCAGATTAATACAAAACATACAGTACAATTATAAGACCTCACTGATGTATGTTGCAAAATTCACACGCTACCCAGCAGTAATTCAAATTAAATGCATATAAGGTAGTTAAAACTAGCTCCCATTTTACCAGCTGCAACATTAAATGTGATGTCCACACTAATACATCAGTAATAATACAATATCATGATATACAGGAATGTGAACTGAACCATTCTGCATAATAAGTACTTTTACTTTTAGCACTGCATGTTTTGATGCTAATACTTTTACTTAAACAACATTTTGAATCCAGGACTTTTGATTTTATTTAAGCAAAGGACTTCTTCCACCACTGTTAACCAAATTTTTAAAAATTTATAATAAAGTTCATTATGATATGACATATGTTATTAGCTGGGTACTTTGATTCATGAGTGCACACATTTTTAACTTAATTGGGCCCAGAGGAAGCTGAACTCCTCATCCAGAAAGAGTTTCTGGCCCACTGAACCATAGCGTGCTGTGAAGGCCAGATACATTCATGTCCTGTCACGGTGTCATTGGAGAGATCACAATAAATCTTTCCTTTTAATTGGTCAGTGTTGTATGGTTTCTTATCCTGAAAGCCAGGATGATTGCATGTACTGTAGATTTGATTCAAAAGTGTTTCTTACAGCATTTACAATATAGTATGAGCAAGAGAGCAAGAGAGAGTGGGGAAAAAGAAAGGGTGGTGAACCCCAGGTTTGTGGAACACTTCCTGTACATAACACAAAATCAAAAACCTTTTACTGCCCTCCTAAACTTCTTCTAAAAGTCATCAGCCTCCGCTGAGAAATACAAGCTTGCAGCCAAACTCAAATCTCAGAAGTACAAAGTAATGTGTCTGCATATAATTGAGTGTGTGAATGCAAGTTATGCATGAGGCTGTGGCCTGCTGACCCAGGAAAGGGCATCTTGTTTTACCACACCCAATGCCGAGAGATGAGACAGGCTAGCTAATTACCAATCAACTCAATTAAAAGAGGCTTTCTCTACTAGACCCCAGCTTCAACATTTAGTCTATCAGCAAATGTGAGTGGGAGGGAGACAGAGCAGAGAAGCAGAGAAAAAACAGTCCCCCATGCAAGGGTAAAAAAAGACCCAGATTCAGGGAAACAGACAGTTTCTTAAAAAGGAAAGAAATAATAACAAAATGATGAAAGACTGTGGCAGGATGGGGGAGAGAAAGGTAGACTGAAAAAGGGAGGAGCAGAAAGAAAGAGTGCAGTGGGAATACCAGACAAAATGATTGACAGGTTAGGTGTTTGTGTGTGTGTGTGTGTGTGTGTGTGTGTATGCGTGTGCGTGGGTTACAGCAGGATGTGTAGATGTGATCACTGTGTGCGCTGGGACTGCTGGTTGACATGTGCATTGTCTGTCAGTGCAGAGAGATAACTGCCAGAGCTGTCACTGTGACAAACACACACACATATACAGTATACAGACACATACACACAGCGCTGCAGTCCCACGCTACAGATCACTGTCTCTGTCTCCGTCAGTCACACACTAGACATTCACGCGGAGGGAATCAGGTCAGACAAGGTAATTAACACATCCAGGATTTATTTCCCAGCGTGCAGCAGGAGCACACTGCACTACCTGTCACACACAGGTTAGCCTGCCACCAGCTCCTTTTACACTTCACTGAGCTGAACTCCTTTATGTTTTACAGGGTTTTGGAAGTGTAGTGCTGTGGTCAACTAACAGTCAGTCTGTCCAAAATCAAGGTTTTGGACTTATACAGAACTTGTCAGCTGGATGTGATAGTTCCAGGATTTTCAAATGGGAAGTTTCTGCTTTCCATCAGTTTACATATTTGTAAGTTTTTTTGGGGAGTTAGTCAAAAAATTAATGATGTCACCTTGTGCATGAAGACATTCTCACTGCATATTTCAGTGTTTTCTGGTATTTTATAGACTGAACTGTTAATTGATTAATCAATGCAATAATAGCATTTTAACTGATCATGAAAATTGTTCCTGGCAGTCCTAGTAATATTATATCAGCTCCAGCACCACATATGTAGTGTGGAGGCAGACAAATGCCCCAGCTGTGATGTAAACACTCCCTGTGTTAGGCTGCGTTCAGACTGAGTCTCAAAGGTGTGAAAGAAACGCAGCCCTCTCCATTCATTTCTATCGGGACCAGTACTGCAGGGGGGCTCCGGCACAGTAATGCAGCCTCATACGAAAAAAAAAGTTTGATTTAGTTAAATTTATGCTGCACTGGACGTTGACATCATCTGCCAAAGGCCCTGCACTGACCAATCACATATGGGGTACAACTAGAACGTGGACACCCATGGGAAGAAGACTTTTGTTTATCTTGTTAGCATGAGCATTCAATGCTATTTGCTCTCGAATTTGGGCCACAGTTACAAAGGCACTGTAACAACACGCCATGTGTTTTCATTAGTTAGGCTACTGGGATATAAAACTGTGTTTTTATCTATTAGTGCAGACACACCGGAGGTAGAATTAGTGCTAAGGTAGAGTTGGTTATGTTAGCAGCATGCTAAGGAAAACAAGGGAAACTCATGGGCTGGAAACATGAATGGAGTCACTCACATCACATAACGTGGTCTTATCATACATGCCTACAACACTCCCCCTGCAACCCTTCAACCCCTGACCAACATAGCCCCTCGATCGAGGCCTTTCCGATATCTGCTCTGAGGAGCTGATTTATCAAAAATCAGTTGCTGATAGGACACATCAGATGAATAATTGGAGGAAAGGATGTCTCATGTTGTTAATAACGTGTTTCCTCGAGTCCTCTCTCTAAATTTTTCCTAGCATTTTTCCCTGACAGCTTATGTGGGCAGGACACAAGGTAAAAATGCAAGGCAGGGAAACACTGGTGGTTATAGGAGACTTGGGATGTATCCAAGTGCTCATTAACTATGGGAGGGAAAACATCTTGCATCAATGTTTTCTGTGGGGCTGTGATGTACCCCAGTCAGGAGAGCACCATGGACATTTATTACATATGTCTCATGCTCAGTGCTGCTGTGACGGAAAATGTCATCCATAGCCTTGATGCTAACGATGCAGTTTCCACAAAAATGCCAAAAGCTTTAGAAATATATAAAAATATAAATGTAGTTTCACCATGATTTCAATTTCCTCAAACACAAGTGAGAAGAAATCAAATTTCAGTTTGATTTTGAGCAATAAATATTGAAATTTTATCTGACTTCCATCTTTTCTTTTCAGTTTTTCACGTTGGTATCAC